ATCTTTATCCCCTTCTAGGACCCAAATTGCCACTTCCGACCCCAAAATGGCCCCCAAATAATCCCAAATCAACCCCAAAATGGCTGCAACGCCCCCCTTGCCTCCTTCCTTTCCCCTTCCGGGACCTGATTTCTCCCTTTTCCCTTCCAGGACCCAGCACCGCACCTCTGATCTACCCCTTCCCCCCTCACCCGGAAGAGCTCTCCCAATCCCGCCTCACTCTGGGTTGCCTGGCCCGCGGTTTCCGCCCACGTGACATCGAGATCCGGTGGCTCCGCGATCACCGCAACGTTCCGACGTCTGAATTCGTCACAACTTCCGTCCTCCCGGAAGAAAGATCCGGAAATGGCAATACAGGAAGTGAAGGTGAAACCTACTTCGTGTACAGTAAGATGAGCGTTGAGGCCAGCGGTTGGCGCGGCGCAACGGTTTACGCCTGCATGGTGGTGCACGAAGCGCTGCCCATGCGCTTCAGTCAGCGCACGCTGCAGAAACAGCCTGGTAAATAAAGGATGGGGGTGTGAAACCCTCGTGCAATGCACAAGATGGTGGAAAATCTGGGTTTTTTTGGGGCGAAAAGGGGGGAAGTTGGGAAAAAATTGGAGGGAAATGCGCGAAATTGGGAGAAAATGGGAGAAAATGGGAGAAAGTGGGAGAAAATGGGGGAAAAATGGGGGAAAGATGGGAGAATTGGGGGAAAATTGGGATACTATGGGGTGATATTGGAGTCATCCTATAAGATTTGGGGGAAAAAAGTGGAATTTTGGGGAACATCCTGTAAGATTTTTGGGGTGGAAATGGGAGAAATTGGGAAAAAAACGGGATTCTAGGAGGTGGCGTTGGGGAAATCCCATCAGATTTTGGGGGGAAATTGGGGGAAATTGGGAAAAATTCGGATACTGTGGGGTGATATTGGAGTCATCCTATAAGATTTGGGGCAAAAAAGTGGAATTTGGGGGAACATCCTGTAAGATTTTTGGGGTGGAAGTGGGAGAAATTGGGATTCTAGGAGGTGGTGCACGAAGCGCTGCCCATGCGCTTCAGTCAGCGCACGCTGCAGAAACAGCCTGGTAAATAAAGGATGGGGGTGTGAAACCCTCGTGCAATGCACAAGATGGTGGAAAATCTGGGTTTTTTTGGGGCGAAAAGGGGGGAAGTTGGGAAAAAATGGGAAAAAAACGGGGGAAAATGCGCGAAATTTGGAGAAAATCGGAGAAATTGGGAGGAAGTGGGAGAAAATGGGGGAAAAATGGGGGGAAAATGGGAGAATTTGGGGAAAATTGGGATACTGTGGGGTGATAATGGGAAGATCCTATAAGATTTTGGGGAAAAAAGTGGAATTTTGGGGAACATCCTGTAAGATTTTTGGGGTGGAACTCAGAGAAATGGGGAAAAAATGGGATTCTAGGAGGAGGTGTTGGGGAAATCCCATCAGATTTGGGGGGGAAATTGGTGGAAATTGGGGAAAATTGGGATACTATGGGGTGACTTTGGAGTCATCCTATAAGATTTGGGGCAAAAAAGTG